CACGACGAGACACACATTAGGCATATAATGCTGTTTGAATACAAGAAGGGAAACGACGCCTCTGTAGCCACAAAGAATATAAACGAAGTTTATGGAAATGTTTTGAACGTTCGTAAGTGTCAACGATGATTCAGCTAATTTCGTTCAAGTGACTTTAGCTATAAAAACTGTGATGGAAGGGGCCGACATGTTGGAATTGATATTGATGCTCTGAAGACGCTTGATGAGTCTAACCCAAGGCAACACACGAGTGAAATGACCCAGAAATTGCATGTCTCTCATGAAGCAATACGTAAATATTTAAGGAATATGGGAAAACGCCATAAAGAAGGTGTTTGGGTGCCTTACGAACTCTCCGATGATCATCGTTTCCAACGTGTGAACGTTGCTTCGTCTCTTCTGACGCGTAATGCGCGTGAACCATTTTTGGACAGAATTGTCACTGGTGATGAAAATGGATTCTCTATGCGAATATTATACGCCAAAAACAATGGCTTAGTCGTAGACAATAACCACTTCCGATCCCAAAACTGGGACTCTATCCGCTGAAAGTGATGCTTTGCATTTGGTGGGACATCAAAGGAGTAATTCATTTCGAACTCCTCAGTCCACAGCGAACTGCCAATGCAGAGATCTATAGTCAGCAACTGGAACGTTTAAAACAATGCCCTTCATCAAAAACGCTCTTTATTCGTCAATCGGAAAGGTGTTCTTCTTCACGACAATGCACGTCCACATGTGGCACGTTTGACGTTGCACAAGATTATGGAATTGGGTTAGGAAGTTCTGCCCCATCTACCATATTCTCCAGATATGGCACCATCATATTACCACCTTTTTCGTTCGCTGCAACACCATCTTAATGGGAAAACGTATGCAAATGTCGAAGATGTTAAAGAGGACATCGACATGTTTTTTTTTTTGTTTGCTTCAAAGCCAAGTGATTTCTTTAATTAGGGAATTAACAACCGGATTATAAGATGGAAAAGCATCATCGATAAGAATGGAGACTATTTCATTTAATAAATGTTTTGATATATAAGGTGTTTGGGTTTTTTCATCCAAAAAAAAAACACATTAAATTCTTAACGACCTAATATTTATTAGTGTTCAGTGGTAAGCATTAAAGTCAGAAACGTTTATTTAACTACAATGTTATCCGCTAATTTCTCACCCTCAGTGCATTTCCATAAACGTAATTAAAATGCCCTGACGACAAATTGTTGCCACACAAGTTTATTTTCAACTACTCAAACCTGCCGAAATGTACTTGGTTAAACGTATCTGTGTAATTACGAGATAACCCATAGCCACCAGTATACCTAGAGGACAAATTCTACATAAATATAATATTTTCGTTTATTTATATAAATGTATGGAGATATTTCTGCTCTTGGGCAATATATTTCGCTGTGTTAAGATGGAGAGCATTATCTACACAACAAAACTATAAATAAGAACATTTTTATAGCACATCCACATATGTTAACATATAAAAACGAAACTGTTATTATTTGGACAATAGGTAATATACATGTCACATAATTTGGAGCCGTTTATTTCTTATGTCGCATATATATATACATATATATATATATATGGATATTACAATAAGTAAATACGAAGATCGTAAAGGCTACAAAACGTGCAGAAAGAAATCCAAAATATCAAAAATATTTTATTTTGTATTTTTTGATCAAAACGCTATTTGTCAAGACTTAAACCTATTACCTTTACGCATCAAAATGTTTTAATGATATACATTTTTCGAGATATTTCTATTTTCTCTGGCTCTGAACATGACAGTAACCTTCCATGGTATAAAGTAATTGAAAAGTTATACAAATATAAAACAGATCTAATTAGCACTATATTGTTTAAGAACACCCAACTGCTGACCAGCCTCAAGTTCTTAAAAACTACAGTTGACTTGAAAAATGTTATTCAAGAAATTTCATTTTCGACTCAATATAATTCATTTTGTATAACTAATTTTGTAGCGAGCTTAAGATTCGAGTATGACGCACTTTTCCAAATTGTGAGCAACACAATATTTATCAAGTTAGTAATCTTAAGCTACCTACACAAAAATCATTTTTAGTTCTTATTTTTTCAGCGAGTATATGCGGATAAAATAGCTTCTAATTTTCTCGAATAACAGAATCGATTCTTTAAATGGAGCATAATACCGTAGTTCGGATTTTATACATTTTTCTACAGTGTATGTCTATCAATGTAGAACTATTAAGTTTGTTTTTTTAGGCAACTTGCACAATGGGATATCTGCGCTGTAGAGTAATTCCTCATAATTAATCTGACTCAAGTTCATGTATAACTGAGTGAAAAAATTCTCTACATATTACCTAAAAATGAAGGTAATCTGACTCAATTTCATGTATAACTGAGTGAAAAAAATGCTCTACATATTACCTAAAAATGAAGGTAATCTGACTCAATTTCATGTATAACTGAGTGAAAAAAATGCTCTACATATTACCTCAAA